AGTTTTCGTCATTGCAATACTTGTATTGTAATATAAATGATCTATTGATCACTAATTCCTTTTTAGATAGCGTGAGTGAATTCAGAGGAGTAAATGATGCAACAATTAACACCCTGGAGTGAAAAGCTGATAAGCCTTCTGACTTTGCTATAAAGAGTAATTCCAAACATATATTCAAATCATTAGGATGGTATACAGATGTGCCAATTAGTGTAAAGGATAAAGATGCTAAGATTGTTACAGCTACTGGAAATTTTGCTTGTATTAATAATGGTGAACCTGAACTAATGTTATGTTTAGGTATGACATGGATTCGAAAAGTTCAAGGTATTCTTGATCCAAATAAAAATCAATTTCGAATGAAGTTACATAGAAAGACTTACACTATCCCAACTTTTAGTAAGCCTCTAGGGGTTAGTGAACCAGAGCAATGAACATTAGGTATACATAATGATGAAGACTTAAAAAAAAATATAACGCACTTGAAAAGTGACTTATAAAGACTGAAGAATGGCTTGATATGGCTTTAAATATAATAGATTCTGACAAACAAATCGATTTCTTTCACAGATTAGAATTCCATTCCAAGATTCAAATCATATCAGATATGAAAAATCTAGAAAATAAAGCAACTATTAAAAAGGAATTTATTAGAGCTCTTAATTATGCAGAATATCTTAAAAAAGAATTGATACGATTTCAAGATTCAGCTTAAAGCTGTTTTTTATATTCTCATAAATTTTCTATTCTAGCTTGCACATCACTCCCTGGTATTGATGAGATAGAATAATTTATAGTTTTTGATTCCGATCGATCTCCACCTTTAGATAATTCTACACTAGAGTTTGTCTTATCAATATTAGAACTAGGAAGTTCCTCATTCTGTGAGACTTTCTTTTTTCTGCTAGTCTTTTTTGTCACTAGTTTGCTCAAAGAAATTACTTATTCAGGATTTCTGGCACTTGATAAGCTATGTATGGGCAAGATTTCTGGTTGAGGTATTGAGATAGATGAATTCATAGATGTTATTTCTATTTCAGGTAGTTGAGGATATATTCAGCCATTTACAATATCATCATATCTTTCACTACCAATTTTATAATTAGCACACATAATGCATTTTCTATTTGGTATCTGTTTTGCATGAGCATTCCTTATTTTTTTGATTGCTTCAAGAGTTAATGGAGTAGCAGTAGGGTTAAGATATTGTCAAACTCGAGATCTACCTTTGGTTTTAACTATTTTAGAAAAATATATAATAATATTAAAAAAATATCCGATTTAAATCTAGGAAAATATCTATTCATTTTTAGTATATAATTGGATAAAAACTAAGTAATAATCGGACAATAATCAGACACAAATCAGACAAAAACTGAGAAATAATTAGTACTGACTTG